GACACTGGCGCGCAGCCTCTACTTCAAAATCTACTTCTTCACAACTTCTAATAGTGTGCAATGCAAGTACATAGTATTCATGAGCAACCACTGAAGTATGTTTTCTCTGATGTGGTGCATGCAAAGAGTTATGAGAAAGAAGTAAGGCTGGCACAGCAGCAAATTTGCCACTGGATATTTAAGCTGTAAAACAGAAATTCAAAAAACATCAAAGATTATTGCTAAAGTTGACTTCTGCTGTATAAATCTGGCAGAATGTACAGAGATAATCTAGACAGAAGAAATCTGACCAGTATACAGTACAAGAAAAAGAACTTGTAATTTTGGTTTCTTGACAAAGAATATCAGGAGGGAGAAAAAAAAATCATTGGTGCATTGCTAAAACACATTTCCAGCTCCTCTCCTCTGGGGTTTCACACCCCGTATAGCAGGGACTAGCTGGCGCCCCTACTTGGCCATGATGGAAACAGCGTGACAGTCAGATGTCCTGCTGGGAAGACTGATGAGAGCATCCCATTTGCAACTCCACACTTCCAGACAGCGCACACCACGCACATCAGTGTGTGCGCATGTGTCTGATTTTTTTTTTTAATATGGGAGTGTGTGTTGACAAAGTGATTCATGAATGGTGAGATCAACACATATGTAATGCTTGTGTGCGCTGCATCAGAAACACACATGCAAAACGATGGCATGCACAAGAACGGATAGAGAACGATGTAAGCCGTACAAAAATAAAGAAATAATACTACTAATAATAATACTAATAATAATACTAATAATAAATACACCAACTTTAATAAGATAGAAGCCACGACCTGCTTTACACTTTAACTGTGCTATTCAGGACATTCTCATTACTTACAGCAACCCCAGATAACAACATTGTGTAATTTTACAGAACAGGATTTTACATGCACTTTATTAGCTGGCCTGATAATGTAACAAAAACAGAGATGAAACCGTGCCCCCTCCCCAGCTCCGGCCCATCAGAAGCTTGCCGATGTATCTGGCCTCAGAAGAGCAGCAACGCAGTGTGACCGCATGATAATACTGAGATAAGAAGAGACGGCGCTCTCCACATACACCAAGAGGCTGTGAACATCGAGTGCCAGCTGTGCCCATAATGAGCCCTGCAGCTTCTAGGGCCACGTTTCGAGGCCTCCGAGTGATGGCAGCTGACCTACTTGACCTCATTTTCCATTAATTAACACATGGTTTGCCATCTCCAGCCAATTAAGATGACCACACTCTCAAAATGCACAAATGGAGACACATGGAGAGAGACAGAGCTGCTCACTTACCTGGCCCAATCAGCAGACAGAATTACAGCTGAAAACCCCTGGTGGCTATTAGCACGGCCCGCACCAATTAAGACGCTAAGCGAATCTCGAGTGCTTTGGAGATTGAGGCCCACTGTGTATAATGCCTCCTAACCGTAACACGACACTGAAAATGATGTTGGTCCCATTTCAGCATAAAGCATACCTTCACCCCCCCCCTCCTATTAAAACCTGAGAGTCTTCAATTAGAGCCATTTGCATTTCGCTAATATCATAATTGTAGCTCCGGTCATTAATAGGAAAGTAGAAAATGAGTGTAGTAGTCAAGGCTTAATCCGAGCTGGGGGAGAATAGATATCTTTCTCCTAACCACCGCCGCCACCTCCTCCTCCTCCTCCTCCTCGTTCTCTCCTGATGAGCGGAGAAAACGGTATTAGCTAGACCCGTCAGCGCACGTGGGCTGAGTGTTATTAAATGTGACCTGGATTTAACTATAACTCAATAACTAAAAATAAGGAAGTCATTAAGAGCCATTTGTTAATGTAGAACTGTGTTGTTGTAGGCTCTCCAATCAGTTTACGCTGCTGAAGAAAGGGGGGGTGCTCTATACAGCCTTTTAAAGCAGTGGGGGTTTCTGCTCATATATGCACCACAATAAGTTAATCCTGCCCCTGGGGAAAACGCAGAAAACTAAAAATACATATATCAAAGCTTTGACAGAGGAACAGGAGAGCCACCGAGTTGATACGTGGAGCTCCATCAGCAAGCAATTCCACAGGCAAATTACTAGCACAGTATCCTGGGACCATGTAAGTGGGGAATGGAACCATGTTACTACATTGTTCATTAAGAGAAAATAACTTGTTTGATTATGGCTTGATATTCTCAAAGCTAATTTCAACATTGCGTGGGGATTGAATCTGCACTATTTTAACTTGATGATCACACCCACAGCTTTAGGATCACCACATGCACCTACAGACTTCCATAACATTATCTGATCAATCTCATGGAGGTCGTCCTGATTGCAAATGCTAAAAGTGACAGAGGCTTTACTCCCAGCGTATGAACATGACTGTGCCTGAGCGAGCCTGACCTACAAAATCCAGTTCTCCTCAGACTAGCGGGACCACTGCATAAACTCACAGGGCAGACTTAAGCATACAGTGCCCTGAACCACTTTTAGATGTGGGTCCAGGAATGGTTCCATTAAATGAGGCGGTGTGATGGCAGTGCTTCTACGACTAAGACTGCTTGTGAAAACAACTGTTAAGTAATTAATAAACCTATAAGTCATGGGAGGACAGTGTGCAGTAAAAATAGCCAATAAATAAACCATAAAATTCATAAACCACAAACCTCTTTGTGCTGTGCGAGACAGAGAGCGGGCGATCAGAGAGAGAAGCTGAGCCTGACCATAAGGCTGGATGCATTTCACAGTGAGTGCTTATTTGGATTAGACTCATTTTGATTGCTTTAATAAAGTACGCCTTTTTAAACGTGTAAGAACGTGTAACTATAGTAACTGGCTGGTTCTGGTTAGACTGAGTCTGATGATGAGGTAACAACTAACTAAATGTCAGTTTCTTCTCAATTTTAAGACATGAGAAAGAAAGATAATTGTTTCAGCGAGTATGAAGAAACGCATACTAACTATTAGAATATACACAGATGAGAGGTAACAGTGACATGTAAAGGCCTGATGTCTTGGTAAGAAAACAGTTGCAGTGCAATGAAAAAGTATTTTGCCTCTCCCTAGTTCCTTAGTTTTTTTGCACATTTCTTTCACTTAAATCTTTCAGATTAAACAAATTATATTAGTCAAAGATAAAGTAAGAAAAATACAAAATGCAGTTTTACATGATTATTACAGGAAAAGAAAAACAGCTATCCAAACCTAACTGGCCCTGTGTGGAAAAAGTAATTTCCCCACCATTGTTAAATGATGAATTAACAGTGATTAACCACATTTTTTGGAAAGCTGAGTTCACTTCCACTTGCTACACCCAGGCCTGATTACTGCCAGACCTGTTGAATCAAGAAATCGCTTAAATAGAAACTGTCTGATAAAGTGAAGCAGGCTAAAACATCTCACAAAGAAACACATGCCAGGATCTAAAGAAACGGAGAAACAAAGTCACTGACCTCCATTGGTCTGGAAAGGGTTACAAAGCCAATTTAACTTCCTAGGACCTGGCGTCCACATATGTGGACATCACATTTTGGGTTATTTAGACCAAAATACTCAATTTTGCTCTACAAGGGCCTGATATCCACTAACGAGGACATTATACGGCTACTGTTCTATCAAAATTTTAAATGAATATCCTCATATGTGGCTCTCATTTTTCTTAGAAACTAAAATTAGGTAAAAAAAAAATAAATCTGCTAATTCTTTGTTTTTACATTTATCAGGCCCCAATCAGCCCAAATATCAAAGAGAAATTAAAAATGCATGCTGTGGAAGAGTTCGGGTCTTAAAGGATTTGGGCCTCCAGCAAACCATGGAACACAGGTGAACCTTCACAGCAGTGGCCAGTCTACCAAAATTACTCCAAGAGAGCATTGACGACTCATCCAGGAGACAAAAGAACACAAAAGAACCCAGAACAACATCTAAAGAACCTCAGGCCTCACTGCCTATGTTAAGTTCAGTGTTCATAATTTAACAATAAGAAAGAGAAAGGTCAAAAATGGCATCCTTGGGAGAGGCAAAAACCACTGCTGACTAAAAGGAACACAAAGTTTCTCATTTGCCAAACAATATTTTGATGATCCCAAGACTTTGGGGGAAATGTCGTGTGGACTGACCAGACAAAATCTGAACTTTCTGGAAGGCTATGTTATATCTAGTGTAAAAAACAGAACATCATATCAACAGTCAAACATGGTGGTGGTAGTATGATGGTCTGGCGCTATTTTGCTGCTTCAGGACTTGGATGAGTTGCCATAACTGAGGGAACCATGAATTCTAGTCAGTACCAGAAAATCTTGAAGGAGAATGTCCAGCCATCAGTTTGAGCTCTGAAATTCAAAAGCACTGATCCAGGAGGACAAAACAAACAAAACAAACAGCAGGTCCATCTCAGACTAACTCAGAAAAGAGCAAACATGTCTGATTGTGCCACTTTTGTTACCAAGAACAGCAATCAGTTATTAGGTTTTATTTTTTTCCACATAGGGCCAGGTAAGTATAGATAATCTTTCATTCCACTGATAAAAGGTAACTCTGTTATCCGTTTGTCACAACATTCTTGGCAAGTAAAGTATTTTCCCCCTACAAACAGTAGCATGCACCATAAGCAGGCCTGTAGGATATTTCCAGAGGACTGCGTTGTAATAACACGATCAGTGTTGTTGCCTAAGCAGATCATTTCAGAGCCTGCTTCTGTCAGAGATTTCTGCCTATTGAAAGGAAATACTTCCATCTCCAAGTGCTGCTCACAGGGGATTGTCTGACTCTTGGGGTTTTCTCTCCAATAATGAAGGGTCTTTACCTTACATTATAAGGTGCCTTGAGATGAATGCTGTTGTATGTTGTTGTGGTGGTGTCCTATAATCAGCAGACACAAACCTAAGCTGCGACTCAGACAAAACCACCAGTAAAAGTGCCGTTCAAAGCTGGCAAACATGCTGACAAACATTTCACAGCTTAATAACTGACGCGCCAATAAAGCCCTGGTTCCGGAGCACGTGTTGGTACTCTTACAGGCCCACTTACTTGTCCCACCCGAGGGTCTCCATCTCAGAGATGAGCTGAGAGTAATACTGCGGAGGCGGGATGGAGCGGCACTCGGGGCGGCTCTTCAGCACCACTTCCTGCAACAACACACACAGAGCTCTTCTTATTTTAAGCCCAGATTACTATGCACATCATATCACAACTTACTCTCAGGAGCAATCTTTCTACAGAGCAAGCTGAATAAGGGCCGTGACGACTGTTTTCTTTATTTTTATGGCACAAAATACACATGCACGTGCACATGCCTCTCAAGCAAGGCTATTGATAATGCCTGGAGGTTCCCATTTAGTTGCTATTCATGAAGCTACAATGTCAAAGTGACCGTGCGAGCCGCCATGTCATTCTGCTCCTTACCAAGACAGTCTTCAGCTCCAGAATGAAACCGACAAGATCAGCCGACTGCTGCAGCCTCTGCGAGGAGTCAAACACGAGAGAAAAGACATCCTTGAATGGAGGGATAATGAAGTGACAGTGTCTATTTTTTTCCTCTAGCCAGCCATTCAAATCAAACAGTGTTTGTGATTAATGGGGGCTGCCACCAGCTTTAATAATTAATGATAGCTTAAAGGCTGTGAAAATAATGAACTTTGCAGCCCGGGGTGAAATATCAATCTCATCCAAATAACCCTGAGGGGCCACATAACAAATAGGGACATTTTCCAGGCGATGTTAATTAAACAGTGAAAAATATTTTTTCTCTGCCTGTGAGTGAGGCGAGCCTGATGGGTGACAGAGGGAGCAGGAGCGGCACAAAGGAGCCAAATACAAAGCGCGCAGCACAAAACAGCGTGCTCTCATAGACTGAGACAACATATCACTAAATACCAACATGCGGCACATTTACCTGCTTCACTATGCGCTCATATCCACGCAACAGGTGCTTCAACTGCCAGCAGCAGTGCAGCCTGTAAGGACAAAGTTGTGAATGGGTTACTGAGGACATCTTCTGTGGCCAGGCACAAGTTTCAAGAACATCTTTTCTGGCTCAAAATGTGCTTTCAATGGTGCGTACACACGTATCGCTGATTGGCCAAGTTACCTTACCCTAAGAGTAATCCATAGATTTTCCTGTTAGTGCAGGCCATAATTTAACCTTGATTAAAGGTCAAAATGCTTTTTTAGTGGTGCCTTATGTTTTTTATAAACCAGAAAATATAATAACTAACAAGTGATTGCATAGGGTTGTATAAACACATAGAAAGTGAAAAACAGGTAAGTGAAGAAGAAACACTGATCGGAGCAGTCTACACCTATTGCAGAGTAACTAAGGAAGGATTCAGGGTCACCTGATCCATCCCCAACTATATGCTTTATCAAAAAGGAAAGTTTTAAGCCTAATCTTAAAAGTAGAGAGGGTGTCCAGAACAAGAATTTCCATCTTGTTGTCATGAATTATTTCACTTCAATACCAATTCAGTAAATTTATAACTCTGCATGTATTTGTTGTTACATTTTATTTAACAAAGCTAGTAACTGTATGTAGATTGGACAAAGGATGCCAAATGTGGAGTTGAAATGCATGAGGAAAAGAGGAAGACCATAGACAACATTTAGAAATCTAGTGAATCCTTAAGATGCTCAGGATAGGGTGAGATGCAATCATACGAATACATACAGCAAATGTACATGAGGCAGAGATCCGATTTCCCCTAAACATTCATCGGTTCCCTGTTAAATCAAACTGAATTTAAATTCCTCCTCCTTGCATATAAAGTCCAGAAAAATCACGCTCCGTTATATCTTAAAGACCATATAATATCATATTATATCAACAGATAACTTCACTCTCACACTGCAGACTTACGTGTGGCTA